TCTACCCCAAGCAATTATATAAATAAATCATAGTTATAAAAATCATTCATGCAAATGAATCGAGACATCACAAATTCTTCTATCAAATTCATTGCATTCATCGTGGATATATAATACTTTCAAAACATCGGATGAACCATCATCATAACATCTTTAATTAAATAACTCAACATCTACGCAACAGAATTCTTAATAACATCTCTAACAACGAAACATCAACTTTGAAACAACACATATTTAATAATAATCAATTTAACGTTCAACAACTGAAAAATCAACAATTAAAAACAACAAGTGTTCATCCCCCCCGAGTGTTACATATCAGAGCAATGACACTGACTCGAACTACCGAAGGTATACAACCTTCACTATCGATTACCTGCACGTTACCAACATAAGGGCAACATTCAAACAGAAGGGGTGAGATATCTAACAATATAATAAAGCGCATGATAATTAATATATTAAATTAGATCAATAACATCACCACTTCTCATCTCATAATCAACAATAATTACAATGTATATACACATTCTTCAACATTAAAATACACTTCTTTATGCAATCATATAATGCGACTCAATACTATGCAAATTCATGTGGTACCATTGGAGCAGAACTCCCATCTCAAAAATTTGCCAATTAATAGAGGCATCAACAAGGCATAAGCCTTCATCTCAAAATTCATCAATACAGGCCATCTCACGAGCATAAGCTCCATCTAAAAAATACAATGTATGCGACACAACCATGAATGTAATAACAACACCCAAGTTAACAACATCTCAAATTAACAACATCTCAAAAGCATCTCAAATTAACAACATCTCAAAAGCATCTCAAATTAACAACATCTCAAAAGCATCTCAACGTCTCGTCATCAACATCTCGTATCATCATAATAATTCATCAAACATCATTTGTTTATTATAAATCATCAACACAACATCATTAATAACTTCTCACTAACAACTCAGCTGTACATTAATTCCACAGTAATTCATACTGCTATTCTGTAACTCTCACGTCATTACCGCCACTATTCCTACTGTTATAGTTCAAACAACAACTTATAAGCATCTAACCTTCATCATTCTGTACGAAAACAACGTAACGTCCAACATACTTCTAACCAACACAACTTCTGACAACACAACTTCTAACCAACACAACTTCTGACCAACACAACTTCTGACCAACACAACTTCTAATAACACAACTTCTGACAACTCAACTTCTGACAACTCAACTTCTGACAACACAACTTCTGACAACACAACTTCTGACCAATACAACTTCTGACAACACAACTTCTGACAACATAACTTCTAACCAACACAGCTTCTACCATCAGAACTTCTACTTCTTACTAATCCAATGCAACTTCTAACCAACACAACTTCTACCATCAGAACTTCTACTTCTTACTAATCCAACGCAACTTCTAACCAACACAGTTTCTACCATCAGAACTTCTACTTCTTAATAATCCAACGCAACTTCTAACCAACACAGTTTCTACCATCAGAACTTCTACTTCTTACTAATCCTACTATTTTAATTCTTAGCCTGATATCAACATAACTAGAACAATACGACTAACTCTATCCCCAAATTAATTTATTGTTCTAATACAACAACTTCTGATATCCTTCACGCATAATTCTGCGTCTTTCTTCCCTGCATAATTCTGCGTTTTTTTCTTCCCTGCATCTCACTACAAAATTCATACTTAAAGCCCTAAAACTTAATATATTCATGACAATTCATCACCTTAATCATCCTATAATACTACATCGATCAAACAACATCATGACATCTTTATTCATCTAAAATTCATCAATTCTTCATCATACATCATTATTTACATTCAACTCAAGAACAAGACATCAATCACCTCTAACCCCACATATCAATCATCATGAACCCAATTATAGAGTCAGAACCCCACCCTTACCTTGGATTGAAGGTCGCTCTAAAATTCCCGGTTGAATTCTCGTTTTTGCCGTTTTCCACTTTTTTCCAACAACTTGCACGTTCTCCTCTCAATCCTTATTCTTCTACTGCTTCTTTCTTTCTATTCTATTCCAACAACAATAAAGTAACCCTATTATTCTTTATTCCTTATTGAGCTTAAAACTAATACACCCCCTTATTACTTCTATTCCTTTAAAAACAAGCTCACATCAAATAATAGTATACTTCTAATATTATTTCACCACTTAATAAAATAATTAAATCCAATTAATTATAACACATCTTCACAAATATTCCAAAAATAATTTAATTAAATAATTAATTAAATTACGGGCATTACACATTTAGGTTTGCTAACGTTTTTATTATTAAGCTCTTGTCATGCAATCCTATTACCATACATCTAAACAGTTAATATATGTACATGAAATATAAAGTGCGGAAATTAAATCCTACGTCATTACATGGTTTCGGGGAAGGGGAAATTTACAAGTCCAAACTGCGAAATAAAGCAGAAAAAGGTAAAATCCTAGTTTAAAATTATTATATTTCATAAACAGATACATTAATGATAAAAATGACAACACTAAAATAATAAACGCGTGCGAATTGAAAGGACGTCTAAATCCTAAAAAATGAAATTTATTTGTTGTTTTTTTTTGTTGTATATCAAAATATGACGAAGCATACGCGTGTTGCCGTGGCTCTACTATTATTTTTGTTTTTAATTATTTTAATTTTAAACAGTTATTAAAATTGAAACAAATAATAATATAGACAACAATCGTGTCTTTGAAAATTAAATCACATAATTTTATTTTATTTTAGACATATTCCTAACTCTTGATACAATTAATGTTTAAAGAAAATTTATATAAAGTAAGCACATTTATATACTAGTCAAACAAATTGAATAATAAATTAAAATTAACTATTTTAACATATTATACATATTTTAATAATATTCACACACACTAAATTTTTTATTTTAATAAGATCTAAATAATGTTCAAATAAAATTCATACATACTTTCACCGTATTTAAATAATTAAAATTTTAAGAATTAAAATAGATTTTAATAATATTTAAGTATATTTACATTTAATGGGTTCAAACACATTTAATATTATTTAAATATATTTGAGTGTTATTAAAAATCATATTCAAATCACAAATAACTTTTTCTAGATTCAAACACATTTAATATTACTTAAATATATTTGAATGTTATTAAAAAATTATGTTTAAATCACAAATTACAAATAATTCACATTTTATAAGTTCAAACACATAATAAAAAATAATAATAAAAAACCAGAAATAACACACTGTTTGCGGTTCAAACACATTTTAATAATATTTTAATATGTTTAAATGTTATTAAAAAATCATACTAAAATCACAAATACAAAATAATTCATATTTTATGAGGTCAAAAATATTTTAATAATATTTTAATATATTTAGATGTTATTAAAATAAAAATTATAGTGTGTTGAATTATATTAAAAAATATAAATAAAGTTAAGATAATACTAATATATGTCCTAATAACACATATTAAAAAAAACTTAAACATTAAAAGTTTGTATTAAAAAAGGCAATAAAAAATTAATTATCAATATTAATTAAAATAGTATACAATTTACGAAAAAAATTCTCCTCTTAACTTTTATAACAAGTGTCCTTAAAACATATGTTAGTATTATTTATAATTTTAAAAAATAAATATATGAATTTTATTTTAGATATTATTAAAAGTTAATTTTAATTTGTTATTAAATGTGTTTGACAAATAATTAAATGTGATTTATTGGTATGAATTTTACTTAAATCTATTGTCAAAATTTATCAAGAGTTATTAATATATCAAAAAGAATAAAAAAAATTTTAAAAAAAAATTTAATTTTTTAATCTAATATTCACATACACAAAAACTCAGATGATGAAGATGCATGTCCTAACAACAAAATGAACCAGGTTAGGGCCAAATTTTTTATGTGTATATTATTTTTTTAGCCTTTGATAATTGTTTAACATTAAAATAATTTAAAAAAAATATGAAATTTAAATAATTGAACAATAAATTAAAAAATAAAACCACATCAACTAAGTTAACATTAAAAAAAAGCAAAATTATTTCAAAGTCTGTTAAGTTATTTAATTGTAATAAGTGACTTTTTTATATTTTTTTCATTACATATAGATTTTTGATTTTTTTCTTCTTTATTTTATTCTATTAATTTTATTTTAATTTTTTAAATATATATTAAATTCATTTATGTCCAAAAATTATGAAAAAAATCTTAAAAATATTTCTTCTCATTTTACATTTCGTATAATTTTCTGAGAATTTTATTTTTTATTTTACTATTTTTCTTTAATTTCTTTTTTATATATATTTTAATTAATTTAAAAATATTTTTATGCAAACAAAAATTTTGAAAATTTTATTATGATTTAACGATAGTCTCTGACGTATGCTAAATGACACGTCAATACCTTAGTGTCACTTTAACTTTTTGAAAAAAAGTTTTAAAAAATAATCAACAGGACAAACATTAATTAATATATGAAGGATTCACATGTAGCAAAAGAAAATATAAATGACTGATTTATTAAAATTAAATAACTTAAAGAATTGTAGAACAATTTTGCCTTAAAAAACTATATAAAAATGTTCAACAATGGCGCTTCATAAACGTTTTTCCCTAATCAATTTTTCAGAAAGTCTAAAATAATAAAATCTTCAAAAAAAGAAGTTGAAATGTAAACTTTTTTATTGGAAATAAAACAAAAGCTTTAACATTAAAATCACTCAAATAACTCTAATGACTAGGACAATATTAACTGTTTTTTAATAATTTTTTTTACTACAGTGGCCATAGAGTATAAAAGTATAGAAGGAAAATTGAAACCTACTCAAATAACTTAGATAAAAATATCTTTAACATTAAAATTAATTATAATTGATGATCAATATACTCTAAGGAACAAGATTACACATATAATCAACACTTATTTATAATAGTTGTCGGCACAATGGACAAGTGTAAGTTGATGAACAGTTGATGCATTGTTGAATCCATGAACCAATACACTTTTTATGAAAAACATGAGAGCATTTTGTTCGAACAAATTCTGACGTAGTACAAAATTCTTCCAAACAAATAGAACATTGTCCAATTGAGTCAGAAGAAGAAAAATAACACATTTCTAATTTCTCCATCAAATCAACAATTTGTTGGGCTTGATCATAATCATCTTGATTTCTAAGATCTTCTTCCTCCTCTTCAATTGGTGTTATGGCAAAAAGATGTATACTCATCTCTATTATATCATGTTCTTCACCGTAGTGTGCAACCATTTGTCTAGCACATTCTTCCATTTTTGGTAGAATCTCGTCTAAAATATTAATTGGTATGAAAGAAAATTTCTCATAGACATTATTATAATCTCCTTCCATACAATTACATAAGTTTTCAATAGGAATTGTCACGGCTTCTCTAACTGTGGTTGTTAAGTCGGCCGTGACATTGGTTTGAAAAGGTAAATATGCATGATTAAACTCAAAATTAATGACGAAATGTTTTCTAAAACCTTGAATGTTATGTGAAGACTCGATTGACTCGCGAGTTGGAGATATATGCAAGTCAAAGATGGTTTCCATGAATGAATTTGCGACGAAGATGAATGAAGTGTTTTTTACAAATCACTTAGAAGAATGTAGAATATAAACTCTCTTCAATTTGTTTGATATAAATTGTTTCTAAATAAAAGGCTAAAGCTTGAGTTTTTATAGATACAACATAGATCAGATTTCAGAATGCAATCATTGATCTTATTAGATTTATTGTTAAGAAAATCTTGTTTTGATTTAGTTGGCACACATCGTTCCTATGTGTACAGCAAAAGTTAGATTTTTATTAATTAAATTTTTAGCTTGTTTCGATACTAGTCAAATAAATCTTTTTTCTATTTAATTAAGCATTAATTATTAGATATATGAGATTGGATAAGGGGGAAAACTAATAATTCGGACTTTTTTTTTAAAGTTTAAATCTTTATTAAAGACTCTTTTTGTTTGCGAAAGATCGTCCCAAATAGTTTTATGAAATTATGAAAAAATTCTCTTTGTCGAAGAAAAACTAATTGTGAAGTTTGTCCTTACTTTTTAAATATGCTCCTTACTTTTTGGAGAACATGGCCCTAATTTCAATTTTTTTTTGTTATATTACCTTCAACAATAAAAAGAAAAAAAAAACTAATCACACTATTATTTTTTATTGTATCAAAATATGACGAAGCATACGCGTGTTGCCGTGGCTCTATTATTATTTTGTTTTTAATTATTTTAATTTTAAACAGTTATTAAAATTAAAACAAATAATAATATAGACAACAATCGTGTCTTTGAAAATTAAATCACATAATTTTATTTTATTTTAGATATATTCATAACTCTTGATACAATTAACATTTAAAGAAAATTTATATAAAGTAAGCACATTTATATACTAGTCAAACAAATTTTATAATAAATTAAAATGAACTATTTTAACATATTATACATATTTTAATAATATTCACACACACACTAAATTTTTTATTAAAATTCATACATACTTCCACCGTATTTAAATAATTAAAATTTTATAAGTTAAAATAGATTTTAATAATATTTAAGTATATTTACATTTAATGGGTTCAAACACATTTAATATTATTTAAATATATTTGAGTGTTATTAAAAATCATATTCAAATCACAAATAACTTTTTATAGATTCAAACACATTTAATATTACTTAAACATATTTAAATGTTATTAAAAAATTATGTTTAAATCACAAATTATAAATAACTCACATTTTATAGGTTCAAACACATAATAAAAAATAATAATAAAAAATCACAAATAACTCACACTGTTTACGGTTCAAACATATTTTAATAATATTTGAATATGTTTAAATGTTATTAAAAAATCACACTGAAATCACAAATACAAAATAATTTATATTTTATGAGGTCAAAAATATTTTAATAATATTTCAATATATTTAATGTTATTAAAATAAAAATTGTAGTGTGTTGAATTATATTAAAAAATATAAATAATATTAAGATAATACTAATATATGTCCTAATAACACATATTAAAAAAACTTAAACATTAAAAGTTTGTATTAAAAAAGGCAATAAAAAATTAATTATCAATATTTAATTAAAATAATATACAATTAAAAAAAATTTCTTCTCTTAACTTTTATAACAAGTGTCCTTAAAACACATGTTAGTATTATTTATTATTTTAAAAAATAAATATATGAATTTTATTTTAGATATTATTAAAAGTTAACTTTAATTTGTTATTAAATGTGTTTGACAAATAATTAAATGTGATTTATTGGTATGAATTTTACTTAAATCTTTATTGTCAAAATTTATCAAGAGTTATTAATATATCAAAAAGAATAAATTTTTTTTTTAAAAAAAATGTTTAATTTTTTAATCTAATATTCACATACACAAAAATTCAGATGATGAAGATGCATGTCCTAACAACAAAATGAATCAGGTTAGGGCCAAATTTTTTATGTGTATATTATTTTTTTAGCCTTTGATAATTGTTTAACATATAATTTTAAAAACACATGAAATTTAAAATAATTGAACAATAAATTTAAAAATAAAATAAAATCAACTAAGTTAACATTAAAAAAAATCTTTTATATTTTTTTAGTTACATATAGATTTTTTAGATTAATTAACGTCTGCACCGTTGACTTTTTTTTTTTTTTACTTTATTTTACTCTATTAATTTTATTCTAATTTTTTAAATTTATATTAAATTCATTTCTGTTCAAAAATTATGAAAAAAATCTTAAAAGTATTTCTTTTTATTTTATATTTTGTATAATTTTCTGAGAATTTTATTTTTTATTTTATTATTTTTCTTTAATTTCTTCTCTTGTATATATTTTAATTAGTTTAAAAATATTTTTATGCAAACAAATTTTTTGATTATTTTATTATATAGTCTAATAATAGTCTCTTACTTATATTAAATGACACGTCAATATCGATAATATCACTTTAACTTTTGAAAAAAAAAATCAACAGTACATATATTAATTAATTAATATATGAAGGATTTACATGTAAAAAAAAAATATAAATAATTGACTTATTACAATTAAATAACTTAAAAAATTCTAGAATAATTTTACCTTAAAAAAACTATATAAAAATGTTCAGCAATGGCGCTTCATAAACGTTTTTGCCTAATCAACTTTTCAGAAAGTCTAAAATAATAAAATCTTCAAAAAAAAAAAGCTTATACAAGTTTGCAACTCAGATGCCTTGAAATGTTTCAAGTTTCTTCTTTGAAAGACTGCTATATTAACGAAATGGGAGATTGAGACAATAACATTTGCAGGTTTTGAGTGGAGTTTGGAGGAACAAAATCCCACCTATAATTATGCTTTTCGGTTGGAGGTTGTTCCTTAATAGACTCCCAAGTAAAGAGCAACTTAAGAGAAGAGGAATCATTACTAATACTCATGAATTATCTTGTCCTTTCTGTTTTTAGAGGAAGAAAACTTAGAGCATCTCATGTTTCATTGTTTTGTATCCAAGCAAATTTGGAAAGCAGTGGAATTGTGGATAGGAATTCCAATTGACAACCAACTTTCAAGCAGGAAAATTATTTGAAGTTTTCGAAAGAGCTGAAGAAGAAAGTCAAAGAAGGATATGAAGGAATCATTTGGTGGACAATTACTTGGAATCTATAGTCCAAAATAACAGTATTCTTTTCCAAGGAGAGGGTTGTAATGTCAATCAGTTGGTTCTTTCTAATAAACTGTTAGCTTGGAGATGGAATATTATTGGTAGTACCAATTCTATAAATTGTAATTTCTATGACTTCTTTGTAAATCCTTTAGATTGCTTTAGGTAATATGTTTTGAGATTTTTTTTTTTACACCTAATAGTGTTGAGTTACATTTTTGAAAAGTCAAAAATATCTTTTCGATGTGTCTATCCGAAGGCATCATATTGTTGTAAAAAATGTATATTTCAGATATGTATCTCTGAAATCCGAATAAATCAATTGTTTATGAAAAAAAGTGTTTTCGGATATACATATCCGAAATATTCACTTATATGTTTTTTTATTAATTACAAGGAGAATATTGGTAATTAGTATTTTAGATCTCTCCATTTAATTTTCATATTTATATTTTAGACACTTTTTAGAAAATACTATTAATGAAATATTTTACTGAATGAAATTTGTTCTGGACTTCCCCAAACGGCTAAGCAAGGCCCAATCCACTTCTGCATGTAGGATGACTCAATAACCTTGGCCCAATAAACCACGATGGACAAGGGACACTTTTTTCTTCTGCCCCTCACTCGAGATCCCTGGTCGGTTGACCCCCAGGGGTTGCAAGGCCACTTATGCCCGCTCAGACAAGCTAGTCCTCATCCTGCCAAGCCACACGAGGACAGCCACCCAGAAACGACCAGATCACACTTGTCCGTGAATGCTCCTCTGCTCCTTGTAACGGCTAATTCCCAGCATATATGCCCGTTACAACGGCTAGTTCCTGGCAGTTGCATATTTTTGGAGAACCTCATATCTAAGCCCAAAAATAAGGACCAATGGCCAAGCGTCAGAGTCATTATATAAACCCTCACACTTGTGAGGGTCAGGTATCCAATATTCACACTAGAAAACCCTAATCTCTTTCTTGTATCTCTTTGCACTCTTTCTTACTTGATTGTCGGAGTGTCTTGCAGGTACACCCCCTCTTCCTCATCTTGCCAGCCTAGAAGACGAAGTTATCGGTCCATTACAAGTTCTGATCAACTGGTAAGATCAGTGACGTTGTTTGTGGGAAATTGTCTTCCCTATCTTCCTTTCTCTAGAAACCGAAGATAAAAGCAACATCACCAAATTCCGATCATGGACAGTCACGAGGATGACCATCTCATTGGAAAAATCGTGCTCTCCCTTGTTCGTAAAGCTGACAATGATGACATATGTCTTATCCTTGAGGACACCCCCTTTTAACGAGACGGATGCACGACGTCTCCCTCCTCCGTCGAGCCTAACGACGACGACATCCATTTCTTGGGAGCTGACAATTCCAAGAAACCCCAAGAACAAGCACTGACGGCTTCTCAACCAGTTCCAGTGTCGACCATCGCCGATCCTTCCATCTCAGCCCTGCTCACTGCCCTAAACCAGTCCAATGCCCTGATCTTTCGTCAGAACAACATGGTCGAGGCCTTAGAGAAGAAACATTCAAGATCTCCCCCCAGAGATACCGACGATGCATCTCGCGCAGTCCTTCACCACAACCCCGTGGCCATCAACCAGCACAAGGAAAACCAGAGATTGCACTCGACAGAAAACACAATCACTCACCTCCTCGAAGAGACCGTCGCTCCCCAAAGAAGACTCGGGTCGAGCCACGATCAGAAGACCACCATTCGCCTCCGTTGAGGTCCAAGATTAATTTGAGGAGTCCATCTCTCAGGTGATCTAATAGTCCATGTCGAGGAAGGAACTAGTCTCCTCCTCGGTCCAAGAGTTAGAGCGACGATGACGACCCTCGCGACCCGTTGTCGCGAGAAATTATGGAGACACCACTCCCAGCTG